TTTTTAATTAAGCAACAAAACTAACGCATGCCATAAACGCTTGTCATTGGGCATAAATTTGAACATATTTTATAGCAAAGATGTCGCGACTGCGTTTAGATTTAGTTACATATATGACTTTCAAATTTGAAGTCAGCGCAACTAAATGCTTTACATACGACTTTTGACTGAAACCAATAAATACTTATCTGCTAATGGCTTCCACGCCGGCTACAATACTCGGAGCAGGGCTAATGAAATGTAATGCAAAAAAATTTCATTGAAAGTCGCTCTCAGATCGATTCGTCATGTACCCATAAATCCTCTTGCAGTTAAGTGACGGACCTTAAAGATTTCCCCTTTCAAGAAAGTATAGTGCTCCTACGCTATCTGTTACATGCAAAGAGAAGAGAAAAATCTTCCTCAATGCGATTAGAATTTGTTGTTGCTTAGTTGTTGATTATTGCAAAATAAACGACAAAATTTAATGTTTTGCAAGCAGTGTAATTATATGCATTCTTCTTCCCAATATTCCGCCTGAACCACCGAGCAGACAAAGAATCTCGACTAACATGGTCATGCGTGCGAATCTCCAGTGCAGTTTTCAAATAAGGCCAATAGCTAATTGGATGCTAGCATCTTAAGAGTGTTCGAATTTATTTCCCTAAGTAAATGACGTGTAATAATAATGATAATTAAATTTAAATTGCTTTCGGTTAAACTCGACGAACGAGCGAAGTGAATGCATGCTATTGCTATGCTATGATGATTTAAAGACTTGTGTTCTTTTAAAAACTTAATGCAAAACGTTTACATATCTTTCTCGACTATTTGCCTGCATCGTGGAGATGTTTATTACCTTTGCTTTTATCCACTAATCTAATTGAATTATTGAATGTATTTCTCCCCCGAGCTTTCAATTTACTGAGTCACTTGTCGTCTTTATAAATAAAAAGTAATGTAATGTAAAGGTTGACTCACACTAGGCCTCACCTGTTTGGTTCAACGTAGTTCTTTTTATTGCTTATACTCTTTCATTTACTCACACTTGTGCATAAATTACATTGTTCTTACAATTATTTCGCTTAAAAAAAAAAAAAAAAAAAAAAAACCAAAATAAAAAAAAGTCTTAAAATTGAAGAAAAACATTTCAAGATAGATTCTATTCTAAATTTTTCATCTGCGATTACCCCGCTAGCTTAGGCCGATTTTAATGATACTTTTCCCTTACGGTAAAAAAAAGTTTAATTTTATTGGGCAAAGGATAATCAAATAACTGCAAGTTAGAGAAGTTAATTACGTATAAAAAAGAACCGTTCGGCAAAGATGCACGAATACGTGAGCGCCCTCCGCCAATAACAGCTGAAAACCCAAAACGAGAGTTCACTTTTTTCATAGGTGATTACCTCTTTGTTCTTCTTCTTAATTTGAAATAAAAACAAGACGATTTTTTCCTCAGCACAATGAATCGTCTATTGTTAATTTATTGTGCCACAGATGCGGAAGAACAACAAAATGATATCAATATGCATTTCTTTTATTCATTTTCGATATTGATTCAAGATATTTTTAATTGAAGATGATCCCAGGTAAATGGTCGCCTCTCAAGCGAATAGTATTAGATTTTAAGGTCACTGAGTGTTTGTGCTTTGCCAGAGAACATCATTGATTTAACATAACCTAAAAAAAAAAAAAAAAAAAAAAAAAAAAAAAAAACCCAAGAAACAAACAAACAAAGTCTACTTGAGTTATATACTATTATGTTGATGGCAAATTCATACCAACGTTTCTGGAGATTACGCACTCATTGCACTTTTATCTCAGTAAATCGGTCTATTGGCCATTAGTTTTATAATAAATATCCAATCATTTCTCTGTACGTCACATGCAACTCGGTAAAAAATGCAAGGGACCGTTTAAGCATTCAAAACATATTTAGCACCAATTTGACTTGACCCGTTATTGATGAGCTATATTAGGCGAATCGGATCTAATTAAACTTTTCAACAAACAATTTAAACAGATTTGCGTAGATTTAATTATAGGCGTTCCTGGTGAAAATTTTGTCTAACTTTGTCTTAAGATTTTTATTGTTGGTTTCGCTTCGCTGTTCTGTAGTTCTCTGTTTCCGTAAACTACGAATAATGAAATGTTTGTGAACAAGCTATCGTAACAGAGACAACAGGTATAATATAAACAAAAAGCTCAAAGAATTTTGTGCATCACTTTAACTAAGCAAAATATATATAGTTTTTGTATTATATATATATGATCAATATATCGGTATGCTGATAACATCAATCGAAAAACGGCGAATGAAGACTGAGAATGAGAAACTAAAAACTATATTGACTCTGCCTGCACAACTCTACATTATAGCAAATAGAATCGATCATGTACGGTAAGCATATATATTGAGTGAATGAAGTAATATATGTTTTCAATTGTCTTGACTGACTTGATTCCGTTTATCAATAAAGTATTAAAGTTTAGATCTATGAAAACGATAGGATCCTGAAATTCGGTTAAAACCGTTAATAGATTGTATAAAATACATATGTATTTGTATCATTTATGGTACGTTAAGTTAGTCGCTTTTTAGAAATGAAGAGAATCTAATTCATCAGTTTAATTTCGCATACGAAAGTAGATAAACAAAGTTGTTTTTAGTGCAATTTTTGCCTTTATATCTAATTTGCTGCTTTCTATATACATATAAATATGCATTTGTATGCATAAGAAAAAATTTATAAAAAAGAATTTGTAAAAAGTTTTTCATTAATGTCAAGTGTAATAATATATTTAAATTTTCGGTAAATGAATAAATAAATAAATAATAATAATAATAATAATAATAATAATAATAAATAATAAATATTGTGCGGGAGTGAATAAATTCAAGTTTCAACTTTTTTTGATTATGCAATAGATCGTCGCCTATTATAATGTTTAATGCTTTTGTAGAATTTTTAAAAATAGTCTCTTGTTTCGATCACATTATGACCACGTTTCATTAGTTCAATATTAAAAATATAATACATAAACATTCAACATTTCTATGCACTTCTATTTTAAGCCAAAAAAAAAAAAAAAAATAAAAATAAAAAAAACAATAACAATAACAAAAACAGTAATGTACATAAACGCAAACCTCTCTAATTATCTTTAAAAAAAAAGAGAAAAAAGAAAAAAAAATTATCTACCAAATTAATACGAATTTCCGAGTAATTTTTTGCTTTTCAATTACATTCATTTTTGAGCTACAGTAACACATATATATGTACATAAAAAATGCTTTCTATCGGCTCAGAAAAGACAGTTAAAATATTTTCTTATTAGAATGATGTGATGCAAGGCAGAGTTTTAGTTTGTTTTGTTTTGTTTTGTTTTTTTGTTTTTTTGTTTTTTTTTTTTTTTTTCGTAGTTTTTCATTATAATTAATTTAAATTCATTGTAGTAGTCCATCCATAAAGAGAGAAATACATAGGCGTCTTTCGTATCATAAAATTGATCTGCCAATGTCTCCGATTGTTCATCTCGTAGGGAAAATAATATTTTCCCTAAGAAAGAGAAATAGAAATATTGAAAATACGCAATTTACGGCACAATCCATCGTACCATCGTTTTCACCCTACTTATATAAATGCGAATTGCTTGACAATTTTGGCATCCGCATGTCTTGTTGGCCCTTACAAAATTGTAAAGCGTAATTAGGTAACAATATCAATGATGGTAACGATTTTGTTGTCGAATAATATTTACAGAGAGTAGAGGGACTTGAGATTCGTTAGCAAACTTGACAATTTCTTATGTATGGCTTCCCATTTTCAGTTTGCCGGATATGCATAACGAACAACGACGATTCGAATTCCATTAGAAAGAAGAGAACAATTCCCTCTATTCGCACTTTTACGAATTTTGTAGGCAAACGAAATCTATGCATACATAGTTACTAGCTACGCTGTACAAATGCAAAGAAACTTTTTTCATCGCTTAGTAAATAGTGATAGTAGAGAAAGAAAATTTACGTGTCCGCTTCTTTTTTGTTTCTCTATTTGTCACATATATGTCATTTAAATATTTCTATTTAAAATTCTTTCTTACCAATGCAATATATTGCAATGCGGGCGATATAACTGCACGCATAGATGATTTGCAACGTTTTTGATTGACATGAGACGTTAAGGCCGTTTCGCGTGGATTTGTAAGCCTGAATGCATTGAGACTCTTAAAGTTTGCCGAAATATTGAAAGTTGATAGTTTTCATGAATGCAGTGACATATGAAAATAGTCTACACGGAAGAACTGCAGTCCAAAATAATCTTCATTCAGTTTTAAAAGATTTGCTTTAAGTAATTAATTGTTTATTAAACAAAATATACCGACATTTTCTTACTGCATTCTGTGATTTTGTTTCGTTATATCGATCAGCATTTATGGTCGAAGGATGAATTAGGTTTGTGCGGACGTATGCGAACATCCACAAGGAGATTTGAGATTTGAGGATCATCATCTTTGATTGTAGCGATCGATTCAGTGAAAATTTTTTGAATCGATTTAAGCTTTTCTATCCGTTTTGTTGTCTTGTGTTTAACGTACAAGTTGCAAATATTTGCGAAATTTTGATAAAATCCGGTATACCGTGTCGGATCAACTTTCTAATCACTTCCCATGTAACGTCTTGCTTTGAAAAGCCGCTGTATATGAACATAGATAATTGAATGCTTCATTTGCCAAATCGATTAACTGCATTTTTGGAAATTTATTATTAAATTTTAATATCAAAGCACTTTATTAGCTCCTAACTGCTGTACGTACAGACATATTTAAAGCGAATTTCTCTAATAAGAAGTATTATCATCACTAAATGACAAAATCATTTTGGTCACTGAATAATAAATAATTTATTTATAATATTTTATCGTTTTTCTCAACTTTTTCTTTTATGGAGTTAATCGATTTGACAAGTGAAGCATCTAATTACAATGTTTCCAATAATCAATATATTATTGATGAGCCTACGTTATTTCCGTGCCTTGTTGCAAAGCCTTTGGCCAAAACCACAATGCCTTGCTAAGAATATCGTCCACACCTGAACAGATATATCTATGCGATGCAATTTAATAGGAATTATATAATAATGCAAAATAAGAAAGTATATGGCAATCATTTTCCGATACAAGGAAGATACATCTTTGCTTAAAAAGTTTCAATATTTCCACCAAACAATATTTTTGCGAGCTTTAAATATTGACTTATTTCGGATTTCTTAGATGAAATAGTCGTTCGAATAAAAATTATTGGCAAAGCTGATGCATGAACATAACCTAAATGTCTGCAGGCATATGTGCTTATATGTTCTGGGAATCTCGATCACATACATGCATATATATTGTAAAAAGTTTTCGATACGTTTGTATCAATATCACGAATACCGTAATAAATTTATTATGCTCCCATAATGTGTTGCGGTTATAAAGATTATAGGTGAACTCGGTGCCATAAGATCTTAAAGAGAGACTTCTCCGTCCTTTTTTTTTATTAAACTCTCATATATATATGTATTCTCTTCGTTAGAGACATTTGTAAAGAATAATATATATGTTATATGCACACTGAACACACAATTCATTCGAATGTAATTCATTCAGGTAAGAGTCATGTGATAGACAATGAAAAACTTGAACTAATAAGAAAAACGCAATTTCGCAATTGATATATCCGTTTACCCGGACAACAATAATAATAAGAAAAGAAGAATACAAAGGGGAAAATGAAAAACCAATAATCTTGTTGTGTGTGTGTGTTAATCGGCAAAAAATAACCGAAATATATTTGCCATTGGGTCGGTCTGTGTGAATTTTTTACGAACACAATTAATTTTATCTATAATAAAAAACGTCATATGTGAATAATTTGTGCGCGCATCAGTGAATCATTCAAAAATAGTAACTAAAAAAAGGAAAGAAAAAGAATAAATCAAGAAAAATACAATGAGTTCACGTGGCGTACTAATAGCAACCGATTCGATCGATTCAATTGATTTCGATGGTGTGGAAACTTTCGGTCGCTCACCGAAAACACCGCCAATCCACATAGATTTGCAACATGGAAAATTCATAAAATTTCAATGTAAATGTTTTACGGATTTAAATTTAACAAAATGCGAATGCAAATTTGAAGGTTAGTATTCGATATAGTATGCAAATGATTACACTGTTAACTTAACATTCAATTTGTTTAGTTTAGTTATTTGATTATTAGATGCTTGCATTTATTAGAAAAATTATTGCTTACCTTCATGTAAATTAATCCAAATATTTTGCATCATCGTTTTCCTTTTTGGCTGACAATATGGCGACGATAACGTGTCGAAAGAACGATATTGATTTGGCAGCGATCCAATTATGAACTCATTTTCGCAGCTTTTCAGCCGCATGCCAGCCAAGTCATCCTGCATCGATCTTAACAATTGCTAACTAGAGAAGACGCTATGTTTCGCGACTATGCCGGGTGTGACAGAACTTTCCATTCAAACTGCAACCGTATATCCTTGACGTTGCAACAATTGCAACGTGCCGACGAGCGTTGTCATGCAAGAGGATGATGATTTTCTGTTAACCGTTGATGTCTTTCTTTTTTTTTTGCAACAATACGACGTTCAAGTTGTTCAATTGACATTGATAGACGTATGCAATAACAATTTCCTTCGGATTTAGCAGATCTGTAGAATGTACTACAACTTATTGATATTGGATGGCTTCACCTGGACTAATCAATGACTTTTTGGATTTGTGATTATTGTGGTAGATCGCTGCAGAACGCCACAGAAAACTCTTCCTTTTTATGCCTAGAAAGCAGTGAAACCGCGAATTGTAGAAACCGTTCAAAATTACATTTTCAGTCAACGACGTATGATAGCCATTTTCTCTTCGTTCTCTTTTTGAGTCGTTTTCCATGGCATGTAAACGTATAGAAACAGTTTCTTTCTACAGAATTGCTAAGCTGTTCGAAAGTTCTTTGCAAGCTTGAACTGGTCTTTTGTTCAATAAATTATGGAATTTATTGCCTTTGAATTTTTGTTTTTGTGTTCCAGGTCGTCCTTTGCCAATGACATTAAAGTACGCACTTTTAAACGGTTGGAATCAAAGTCAATTGGGATGTGTTGGAGCAGCATTATCACAAGCTTCTAAAAGTGTTTGATGAGCTTCGGCATTGGCATTTGCCTTACACTAAATAACTCAATAATACTCAATGGGAAACTGATCTCTTGCGTAGAGAAAGGTCAAAAATCATCGAATTTAACCCATGTTTATGTCGGCACTTCGTATTAGTTTATCGTATTCGCCACGAGATATCGCTGATCAAAATACATGCAAGCATCTATTCTTATATTTTTTTTACTATTATAAAAGACATTTTAAAATGAGTTAGTTGTGTCTATCTCTCTCTCTCTCTTTCTCTTTCTCTCTCTCTCTCTCTCTCTTTCTCTCTTTCTCATCTGTCTCTATTTCTTTGTTAATCAAATACACAATGAATAGGAATGAACCAATAGAGCGGCCATTGCTAATACGACTATGCTTTGATTATTTTCGTTAAAAACAGAATATGATCCAATAAATCCTGACTAACACTATTGCGGCCAGCGGTCAAATTTTGTTCAGCCCTTATTAAGGGACTTCTGGCCCTTATTGCCATGATACAAGTAAGCTGTGACTGTGATATAAAGTGATATAAAGTTTGTCGAGAAGCAAGGAGCGATTGAAACAGCGGTAGACTTTATTACAAAATGTGCAGCGCCTCGTTCATCTCCAATCAAACTGATATATGGCATAACGTCCCAAATAAATGAAATAAGGAAGAAAAAATTGATTGTATTATGGATGGATTTTATATTTACACTTTGGTTGATAGTCCGGCCATTGGCTGTATTGTATAACATTTTGTTTTTTTTTTTTTTTTTTTTTTACAAAATAGATAGATACAGTCAAGTATATTAATGTTCAAATAAAGAACTTTGTGTTCACCATGAACCTTTTTTACTCAGCTGAGTTAATCATCAGGTTGTCGCAGACGAATTTTGAAGTGTCAAGGCACATGATTGCCCTCAGCGAAAACATGATTTTGTTCAATTTTGTTTTTTGCGTCAAATACATAGATGAGTGATATTGGCAATGTTGGCATATGTCGGCATATGTCAAAGCGCAAGCGCATATATATCGTCAATCGTGACCTTATCGTATGTGTTTAAATATCGTTTCACTGTCCATCCAATTCAATATTAATATGTTCGTTTATATTGGAATACCTTTTGAGATTTGAACTCATAACGAACATCATCACAAACATATCTATTTGGAAAAGCAAAGCACATTAAATGCGGCTTATGAATGCGTGTGTGAATAATGAAAATCTTATCTAATTTTTGCTTGACTTATGAACCGTTATCTAAGCACACACTTCTGCGTATATATATATAGTTAGTAAAATTTGTATAATTCATTTATTGCACCCCTGGATATCTATATGCATTTCAAATGGAATTTTGTATTCAAAAATTATCAACAAAGTTTCCTCTGTATTTATACATTGGTTTTCTTTATTTTTAAATTGTTTTCTTTTTCTTTTTTTTTTTTTTTTTTTTTAAAAAAAAAAAAAAAATTATTTTTTTTTTTTTTTTATATAAAAAAAAAATTTTTTTTTTTTTTTTTTTTGAAATTTTAAAAGTTTAAATTTTCAAATCTTCGTACAAGAGTGTTATCGCACATATAAATCTAATTTATTGATTTACTAATGGACACATTTTTTGTCGTTGATATCGAATGGATTTGAATAGTGAGGATTGCCTTTGTCAATATCTGATTGATTTTGACCATTTCGGTTTGATCTTTGGCCGCTACGTATGCAACAATTCTTTAATGTCCAACTCCAGTTTGTATTTGAATGCATTGCATGCACAGTCGTTCGATATAATTAAATTCCTCTGTTTTTTTTTTTGTAATTTTGATTGTTCCAGGTAGCGATTCGCCATTGTTGGGTGCACCCTGTTCAACGTCAAAAATTGTAATTGACGAAACCAGCACAGATGACGGATTGCCTAATGAAATATCTGCTCCCTATGAAGTGCCGCAATTTCCTATTGAACAGATTGAGAAAAAGTTGCAAATCCAAAGGCAACTAAATTACCAGTAAGTATCAACCAAATTGTATACATATTATAAACGATATTGAAGAGTAAGATAGAAAAAACAAGATCCCCTTTCCTCCTCCTACACATTGCAACTGTACTTGAGTTCTTCTAATAGAGAAAATCACTAAAATGCTTTCATCGCTGAACGGTTTCGGTGAGGCAAGGACATTTAACAAGCAACGTTTACTCTTCCCTCTAAGCATTAAGATGTTGAGGACAAAATGGATGTTAATAAATTTACAATAGCACGGAAATTAATTAAACGACTAGAAGAAATAAAGGAACAGAATTCAAATATTCTCCTACAAATTTTAACTTTGTCATCTGAGCAAAAAACAAAAAAAAAAAAAAAAAAGAAAAATCTACAAAAAGCTTTTATGGATCCATCTAAATGTCATCTACGTAATGAATGCCTTTTGCATGAAGTTCCTTTTGTAAGAGACTCAGGTTAGAGGCAAAATAATCATTGAATCTATGCTACGTGCATTATTTGCAAAATTGGATACGGAATCAAGACTAAGAGAAGACTTGTATACAGAAGGCATTTGGCATTTGTAAATAACTAACCATTTCAATGTAATATAAGTTCAACGCAGTATATGTTATTGCTTAGCTCGAATTTCGCCTCTGGGTTTATTGATTAACGTTGTGAACTTGTCGATATAAAAATTATTCTAAAACCGACCGACTATAGTGTTTTCCGCCATATCTCGCCTATATTCGCCTATATTTGGTTATTCGCATTATTCTCACAATTTCCTTTACATTTCTTAACCGTCAACAATATTCATTCATTGCTATAACCGTCATATCGTAACAATAGCCATAGCGATGTATGTGCTCGAAGGCTACGCAAGGTATCGAAATAGCGAAAA